ATAGCACCAAATCGTACCAATCATTGCACTTTATTGAGAATTTCATGTTAATGTAGTACAATTCCAACCAAAGCCATTAGAAATTATCGGAAACTTTGTCAAGACAAGTATTGCTAGTTGGCATAATATACTTGTAATGCTATTTCGAATCTGTCATTCAAGATTATTGAAAACTTCCTGTCAAGCCAATAATGTATCAATTGATCAATTTACATGTAGGCCTAATGCCAATTTAAGCCCGACATTTTGCAGTAATGGAAATTTTCTGTTAAATTTTTTTTTGACCAGTCCAAATCATTCCATAGCAATGGGAACTTTTTGTTAATCCAATTTTTGTTGGATCGCCATTTAAGCATGGTTAACCGAATTGAGTTGTGCTTCGGCGAGAATTATCGAAAATAATTTCGCTCATCTACTTTGTGGTGATCTGATGAATCTGAAAACAGTGTTAGTTGATAGAATGGTTATCTATACAAAAGCACAAATGTACATTTGGGGCTAAAGATGAAAATTTAGTGTTTGGCCCATGTTGGACGACATATTATTACATGTTTGCGACATACAAGTTTTGTAAAACTTGTTTCGAAATGACTTCACAATATGTTTATTTAAAATATCAAACTCAAAAAATTGGGCCGGATATTGTAAAGTACAAATTTTTTGAGTAGAATACCGATATTCATGAATTTGCGTGTAAATGTCATGATTGAGTCATGTTTGACAATTTATTACTATATGTTTCCGACGTACAATTTATATAACACTTTGTACGAGATGACTTCCCAATATGTTCTTTCTAAATATTTTATTTTAAATTGGGACCAGTTATTGTGAAGTACAAAATTTTTTACTCGAATACAGTAAGCGCCAAACTTTTTGCATAAATCTGGCAACTGCATTTCTCACATCATTCTTATTTTCCGTCGCGCGTTTTATACGCAATGTTAAATCGTTTTCTACCCTATTTTAAACCCTTTTTCAACCCTATTTTACCGTTCCGAAAACGAGAGAGATGTCTGCTAGGGTAAATTTGGTCCAGTCGGCGGGCCAGACGTGGGAAAATGAAGTCCTCGGCGGGCCGGAATATTACAAAAAATACTTCGGCATCCAATCTTTGTTAAATGCTCGACACTCCCTGTCAACTTCACGTTTCTTGGGATATTCCATGGTTAATAAAATATAACTTTTAAAATCTAGTTATATTTAGAATATAAATATAACTAATAACAGTAGTGGGGAATGTTTACAACGGTCTCTGCTTTGATCTTATATTGTTTGTTAACAAGTGTGCTAACGCAATTGTTTGTTCACTAAGGCAGTTGTTTATTTCACTAGCTCGCACTTTCAAGAACGATGCGTCGGACCACATTACAGAGTGTGGTTGGATACAGTCAGCGGGCCGGTCAAAATCTTGTCACGAGCCGGCCGTATGTGGCCCACCCCTGGTCTAGAACTAAATATTGACTAATACTATTCAAAACTGAATACTTAGAACCGTGGTTGAAAACCTTGTTTATAAACCTGTCTGGGTGACAAAAAGTGCCTGAGCCGCTTTTAATTGTTACATCATCAGATTCTCGGGAAAAAATCCATTTGGGGCTAACGAACACCATCAACCTTGTTCATACGAAAGCTTTATTTCAGCAAATAAATCACATAACAAACAAACAACAAGAGCGAATCTCAAGTATATGAACACAAGACCAAAACGAAGGACTACCGGTACCATAAGTAAAAACCCCTGATACACTTCGAGTCCAATAAGTGCATTTTAAACTCTGGTCATTCATTTACGCACCGGTAACCGAATGGTTTCTTATATGAACAATATGACGAGAATCCCATCCGGAAACGGTGTAATAGATGACTTGTAACATCAGAAACGTAAGATGATCCCCACAACATTAACCGACAACAATTTTAGATATCAAAAGCTAAATTTATGGCGCTCCAGAAGTATGTGTACCGATATGGAGGTAACTAATGTGATTCGCCTACTTAACATCAAGTTGTGTGAAGGGACTGATGCCTATGTACAGGCAGACAGGAGGTATATTCAATTGGCTTACATAAACAGTCGCCGAACTCGTAATCGAACTAAAATATGAAAAATCGGAATAAATTATGGCATTACTATAACCTGGTGTACTACAGGAGTACCAAATTTATTTATAATATTGTTAGCTCAGCATCGCAATTAATCATCAACACTGATATCTGAAAGGTAGTTTGTACGACATATCAACATCTAATAACTGTTCGATTTCCTATCTTTCTCTCAATACTTGCCATTGCTTTGAAATGGCCAGGTAAACAATAACAAACGCTGCTTCCTCTAACCATATCAACCTTACAACCCACACACGACAAGCTGACTGACACAACTTTATGACTCGGCGTTGATTACCCTGAGAATTAACTAGTTTCTATTATTATTATTAGTTATGGCGCTTTTGATTACCAGGATTATATGCGCCCGACTGAAATTAATTTTCTAGACAAAACAGGTCCACATATGCCGAACACAATAACGAACACGCTACTTTAATAAATTGCAGTATGATACGGAATTAATGTAAAATATAAGCCACGCAGAAATATAAAAAAGTACGTACATATGTATATCAGCTATGTCTATATTTACCCGCGGGTTGAATGAACAAACCTAATTACAAAGGGAATAACTTTTGAATCAGATAGTAGGTATTTAATTCGAAATGGAATATTTAAACTATGCGCATGATTTATTAAAGTATTTCTTTCATTAATATACTTTGAACAAAATAGTAAAAAATGGGCTACAGTTTCTTGTACAGAGCAAGTATCGCATTCACCATCAGGGTGACAGCCTGTTTTTAAAAGATGGTGGGAGAGCCTGCAATGTCTAGTCTGAATATAATTGATTGATGATATCGCGTTAGAGAAAAGTTCGGATATGAATCTGCTGTCGGAATGAACATTTTGAAGTGTGCTGCGATGGTCGACAATTGATATTCCAATTTCCATTTATTCAAACTTATACTTCTAATTACAGTTTTTCCTCTTGCAGTGTATGTGGGATATTGTCGATAGCGGCGTTTCCAATGTTTGATCTTTCAAGATGATTAACTAGTTTCTAGAATGCTCGACCCACCATCAACAGGAAATACCTAATGGGTAAAAATTGCCATCTAAAGAAAGAAAACGTTTTCAAAAAGTACGATCCAAAATCTATGGAACTGAGGGAACGCGAAATCGAAGTTCGGTCTGATTTTGGTTCATACTGAATTGATAGCCCATCCGAGGCAAACGTTAAAATTCATATAAATCCGGAGTTCTTCGGCATTCTCCCACATGGTTGAACATCAAAGTCGAGTTTTTGGTCAAAGCATAAGTTACATAATACGTGTACCTCACGTTTGTTTTCTATGCGTATATATACGTTACTTCTCTCGTTTTTATGTAGGGCAGTTTTACGTTCGTGACGTCATTATGTTAATTAATAGGTTGCGTATACGTTAGTTCTCTCGTCTCTCGTATGGCGCTTTTACGTAGTATGTTTATTACGTTATTATGTGAATGTCTAGTACTTTCAAATGCTTGTTTAATCATTATATTCACTTTGTATATATTGCTCCACTTACACTACACTTGCATTATGATCAGGGGCGTAGGCTGGACTTTTTAACGAGAGAGGGTTCTAAAATTTCTTATACAGGGTCTGAAAAGCGTTCCAAGTCGGGAAATATTGCTGTTTTTTACAATCCACAATTTCGGACCTCACAAAACTCCGATTGCAATTGAATAAAAACTACAAGTAAATGGGTCGGTCCTTGACATGGCCTGAAACGCAATTTCTTCAAATCTATAATTGTTTTTGAATTTCATTCTGTAATATTCCACTATCTAAGCATAAAACGCAGTTACTCATTTTTTTAAATTAAATGAAACAAAACTCGATTTAAGTCAAATTCATCCTATAAATTATTCTCAATTTTACCTCGCACAGTTTCTACCAATATACGCTCTATGCATTAAATCAAGCAGACTCATTTAAGTCAAATTCGTCGACGAATTTTCTTTCAATTTTGATTAAACGCCAAGCTTTTCAATTTCAAAAAAATTTCTCGCTCCCCGCCCTGGTCTATTTTAGTATTCCATTACTCAAAGACGGATGAAGTTGCTTAAAGTCAATTACTTTTATTGCTTATAGTTTATACAATGTGCGATCTTCCACCTAAAAATTTTGCCGTTACATTTTATGTATGGGAACACTTCCATATGACTTCCAGCCTCAGTGTCCATATATGTGTGCAATACTCTTTTATTTTTGAGTTACCCATCAATTACCACCACAAGACAAAATTTATTTTCAAGATAATTTGACAATTCTTATTTATAGCCGAAAACACTTTAAGTAAAATCCGTTTAATGATTCATTCCCAACTCTAATCCATTGTCCTATATAAATATTCTCCATTTTGAATTTAATCAATCAATCGACTCAAGTCGAATCCATCTACCATTTTAATTTCAGGTTGTGGGGCCCATTTGCTTTGTGTCACAGGATATTAATAAAAGAAAAGCGGTGAAATTTTCAATACTCAAAAATGGATGAGTCGCTAGAATGCTGTCATACATATTTCGTCGAGAAGTGTTTGTACCGATATGGAGGTAACTAATTTTGTTTGCCTACTTTACATCAAGTTAAGTATCATCAAGTAGGACTGAAATCTATGAACACGGGGTATTATTCACTTGGCTAACACAGACAGTTCCAGAACTCGTCATAGAATTAAAAGAAGAAAACTCGAAATAAAATATGGCCTAACCCTAACCTGGTACACACACTACGGAAGTACCCTTATTTTTATGTCCTACGATGCGCACTATTTCACCAAAAATCATCCGTCTTAATCTGTCATATATTTCCAAGAGACACTATTATGACTTTGAGTTCATATTAAGAAGCATTGCATCGATTACCACCACAAGAAATGTATTTTCAAGACAGATTTAGAATATTTAATAAAACAAAGTTCAATTTGAGTAAAATCTATTTCACATAATTTACTCCTAATTCCGGTCCATGGTCCGGTATATCCAGTCTTCATATTGCACGACGTCCACGAATCCAGCAGGGATGTAACCGACCCCACAATCATGAGGACCAAACGCTGTAACTCCTGCTACATACCAGTCACATGAGGATTTGCTTTGGCATAGCAGAGGTCCGCCGCTGTCACCCTGAAATATTAAGAATATACGTGTGAGCACGACTGCGTATTTGTTAGAGCAGTAGAAAAAGCAAATGTTCCGATTTTCAGTCTACTCAGAATCACAGCGTACTTAGCATATATATACTGTTCAAAGCTGGAGTCTTTCTTACCTATCTCTCAAGCCCAAATTAAAATCAGATATCCATCCTTCGCTGAGAATACCTTGCGCATAGAATGATGCCATAATACGATAGTTTAAAAAACATTGCGGCTCCCTACATATCACGTGGCAGGCCTTTTTTTAGAAAGTTTTAATACATGTGTTTATTACTTGGATAACACATCTCACAAGGCAAGGGTACCTTTCTCTGTTGAGAAGACTTACACCCTAGGTTCGACTTTCTATCTCACCAAGAAAATATGGCTCACAACATATAAGTGTCAATTTGTCCGTTGTCTTGTTTGGAGCGAATATATTTAATACTATCTTCAATACAGAGTATCTTACAATGCAAGTGTCTTTTCCACCACTTAGAAGGCCTGCACATAAAGTCCTGGTTGTGACAGCATCTGAATACCCGCTATTAATATAACCTTGCACACAGGCATCGAGAGGGAGGGTTCTGAGTCCAACATGCTTCAATACGGGAGATCCTTCCCTAGTCGGTATATTGGACTTGAAGGCTGAAGATGTAAAATAGAAAATAACTATTGTTATGGCTGTACTGTCCTGTTCACAACGCGATATGGGAGAAAATGAGATCAGTTGCTGCCTATGCAGAGGATTATGTAGACAGGGAAGCATATACCAGGTTGTCCATAAAGTCCTTTTACAATTTCAATTTTGTTATGAAGTCAGTTTGCAATATATCTTAACCAGGTTTGATGTTTTTCAAACAATAATTGTTTAAGTAATTTTATTTTACTTCATTCAATACATCCGCGACGGCCAAAACAATATATCGTATCGATAAATTCCCCTTGCAATTTTAAAAACATTTTAGGACTTTATGGACACCCTAAAAATACGTCGTATCAGGAAAATGTGGCTGGGATCAATCCCGTAAGATAGTTAGATCCAACGTTCTAACACCCTTCCTTGCACAAAAGATTCTGTGGCTCATTAACTTTCGCGTGCACGAGAAAAACTACAGGAAATGCAAAGAAAATCCCTCCGTAAAGGTAGACACTTCGACTTTTATAATTAAAGTGAGAATTACCACTCAGTAGCAAAAAACAGCACCATCATTCAGTTCTACTACAATCAAAGTTTGAATAATTTATCTCTAGCAATTTTTAATGGGTTTGTGGTCAACCTGAAAATGTTTCCGTATCCCAAAAGTTGGCCATGGCCAACTAGTTGAAAACCAGTACACTGCACTGTCCACAATAGCAAACCAAACTGGGTAATCGACGTCATAACCACTAGGCCAGTGCGCCCATAATTTATTAAATTTCTGACACACTTACCAACTCCCCATCCAGGAGCAAAGCACTTCAAATCTTGGTCCGTTTTTTCTCCGTTTGGTAGACATACTTTACGTACGGCATCGTTGAATTTGAGAGGCGATTTCAACTGTTTGAAAAAGTTGAATTATTTATAAAAGAATTTGCTAAAAGCATGACAACGTGCACTCACTCGAATTAATGAGAACTCACCTATAGACACAAAGTCACTGGCGACCAATGGAATGACAGGAATTACTCAAAATATATTCAATTATGTTTGTCACTCAGAAAGGAGTATAGGAGACTAATTTCAGAGCCAAGCTACAACTGAAATGTTAACAGTTACTCAAACTGTACATACTTACAGCAGTGCATTACGTGTACAAACTCAGAGTTAAAGAAGACTCACAAGAGACGAACTACCTATCCTTCCGTGTATGTGAAGGAGTTGAGCGGGTTCGTAAGAACCTGTTCTTGGAATGTCGTGATAATCACCGGCTCATGTTTTGTATTTCAAACGTTAGATGACTCTTATATGCAACTCATCTGATGACTAGTGTTATAAGTGGCGTTTCGAAAGTGATGTATTAGATTCGTGTTGATTCATTTTGAGAGTATCGCGTATTGTCGAGAGGGTATACGGCGACTTATATTTAATCATGTTCAGTAAACTTCCTAACGCTTACCCAGTTTATGGATTAGATGGCCTGTTCAAAAAAGTATCAACTTCTGCTTGGGGGGCATAGCGATCTCAGTATTTCAATTTTCGAGGCAGTTTACGAAATAATGGGAACAAATTGTGAAAGAAATGAAAATTTTTCATTTGATGATGGCATGGAAACGGAACATCAATGCGGACTTTCAGTGAAATGCGAAGCTTGCCCAGTTTAATGTTACTCACTTTGTGACATACTTGAAATGAAGGAACCTGTTTTTAGTAAGTTCGATACAAAAGAGAAGAAGATCTTTTTGCACAAAACATTTCAAATTGGTGTGCAGCAAGACTCCCCAATCACTTAGAAAAACCTTCATTTAATAAAATAAAAATCACCACACCCACCTTTATCAAAGCAACATCGTCGACAGGGTTTTTGTAATTTGGATGCAGAAATATCTTGCTTGCTTGCGCCCACTGGTGCGTCGATTGGAGATTATCCCGATGGGTTGTTCCAACAAGAATCTTGAGATCTGTAGCAGGGTATGCCCTGAGAAGAGAGGCATAGTATAAGTTGGAATCAATAAAGTTGATAATAAACAATATACACTTTCATATCGATACTAAAAACGTCGGTGTAATAATAACAATTTATGCTAGAAATCGTTGCGGATTTATGGAAATCAATACCATATAACTGTTTCTCTAATAGTATTGACTTAAACTTCTTTAACTGTGCGTCGATTGTTTTTTTACTGGCGCGTCATGCACCACAAGAACTCTATATGTGTGTATAGCTCTTGCTATTTCAGTGACTGTTACTAGAATTCCGGTTATGTGGAATTAAACACTTCATAACTGTTTTATTGATCGTATTTCTCTGAACAGCTTCAAATGTTTCATCAAGCGATATTTACGACTACTCGAATTTCTTAAAAAAAAGTATTTTCAGCTCTTGCAGGTTGCTGTTTTTTTTACCTAGCTACTAAACCCGGATAGAATCCGTGCACAAATGATGAGGAGCAAGCGATATAATCTAACCTAACCAACGTTTAAATGACCCGCCGCCTATTTCTGTTAGTGGTGGATTATGAGTGTTGCCAGAGTAGATTTTTTTGGAGAATAGCCAGAGATGGATCGGAACAACCGGAACGAGCTAAATCGTGAAAATAGACTTTTTGTGACATAACTTCGTTTCGACAACAGGAGCGCAACTGCGATAAAATGGTCAACAACCGGAACGCCGTCTAAAGCTCACCCCTGCAAATATCTACAACTTTATTCGGTCATTCAACTTATTTGACATTGTTATTTAAATAAATTTATTTGACTTATTTGACGAATTATTATTTGAACTACTAATCTCACACACATTTATCTTCTACAGGAGTTGGACCCAGGAAACCATTTAGTCGTGTGAAGGCGAGTGTTTTTATTTTGCATAGACGATGCGATAACAACAAATTCTAGATCTGGTGAAATATTTGACAATGTCACTGCATTTGTTTTTACACCAGCGTTTGCTTGAATCTTTATTCGTGAGAGACTATGGTTTATTTTTTATTTATTCGTTGGGATGCAGCTTTAGATAATATTGTAACAGTCTAATTTGGATAGAAAAATAAACATCATCTTACTCGGCGCAATGTCCTGCAGTCAAGATCCATTGCTTGTGTATGATAATTCCGCCACAGAAAAACTCGTTGGTAGATTTCTGATAAATTGCAGCCTTGAAGAAATATTCACATTCCGTTAGAAAAATAATTGAAAAAATTTAGGAGATTTCTAACGTTCTAGCTGGCTGGGGAAAACAAGAGAGAATGCCATGGGGTAATAGAGTATGTTCACTTCAAAGAAGAATACATCGACTGGACGTAATAATTTTCAAGTTTTGTTTTAGTTGTAACAAGTTGATCGAAGTTTTATATGCTAAGACAGTAAGCATAACAGCGCTTTAACCTAATTGTTTTTGAACTTTACAAAACAATATTGTAAGTTACAGTGACAACAGCATAATGTGTCAGCGGTTGCTTGTCTTGAGCGGTGGTGCTTTTTTGAAACATGATCTTACCATTGAAGGCCACATTTTCGGTTTTGATACCACTCCACCTATGACCCTCTGAACCACCGATGACTTCACTGTACTTCCACATTCACTTCCTCTACTTTTCTTGCAACAGGATGACGGCGTTTGGAAGCGATGGATATGATTTGCTGGGCAGTTTACTGAAAGAAAGAAATATGGGCAAAAGTCAGATTAAGGTTTCAAAAAAAAAGTTTTATTCGATATATATTTCAATGAAACATATTCAACTTGAAAATATTTGGAACTCGTATTAACTCGTGTATATCTACATAGAAATGGTTATCGGAAATATTGGCTGTGTTCGTACATTCGGTTGGCGTATGTGTACTTCTAATGGTCGTATATGAATTTAAGTCGGCTGTATAAACATATTGAATTGTGTTAAACGCATGTCCGGTTAACTGTATTTTCACAATTAGTTTGTCGTATCATTTGGACATTAGGTTGGTTGTATAGACGTATCAGATAAATGTATATGCATATTGAATTGATTATACAGTCATGTCCTTTCCGCTCTCTTCAAAATGCAATAGTAGTTAAGCACATATCCGTTACTGTTGTACATAAAAATTCACAAACATCGTGGAAATTGATATATTAAACTCATACTATCAGGACATTCTTTTGTGTTAAGATCATCATATTTTTATGAGCAGTCTTTGCACTGAGTAGAAGTGGGTACGTGTATATCTACTTTGTAATGGTTATCGAAAATATTGGGTGTGTTTGTACTTTCGGTTGGCGTATATGTACTCCAAATGGCCGTATATGTATATGAGTTGGCCGTATATACATATCGAATTGGTTGTTTGTGCATGTCAGATTGGCTGTATATGCATATTAGGTTGATCGTATATGTATGTTGCTTTACTGTATTAGCATAATGAGTTGGCTGTATATGCATAAATTGGTTATGTGCGCATGTCAGATTGGCTGTATATGCACATTTGGTTAATAGTGTATCGATATGGGTGGATTGTATGGGCATTTACAGTTTTTTATGCATGTTCGAATGGATTTATTTGCGTTTTGACTGGCTTTATATGCATATGAGTTATATGCAAATCTTCTCGGACGTATATTCATGTCCAATGATTGGCACATCTAATTGACCATATATGTATATGGGTTGATTGCTCCAAAATGCAATAGTAGTTAGGTATATATCAGTTACTACTTGTACTGGGCCCTTTTTTAGGGCAAAAGTTATGTACAAACGTTTCACAAAATTGATATATTAAACTCATACCATCGGGACATTCTTTCGTGTTACAATCTCCATATTCTCTTGGGCAGTCTTCGACTTTTTTTCGTTTGCAAGATGATTTGCTTCTGTATCTTGTTCCTCCACCACATAACTTGGAGCACGGACTCCATTGTTTTAGTTTAAGTTCTGAAATGAAATTGAAAAGTTACTCTACGATGAAGGTATTGAAGTACAGCCACCTTTAATATGTATGAGATCAATCAGTTAGCAGGGTTTTTCATATCTCCGAACCGTATATGTACATGGTGGTCGCTAGAAAAACAGTAAATTGTCAAACAGTAATTTATTTTCAATAAGAACATAAGTGCATATGTCATATTATACTCATAGATGCTCAAAATGTCGTACGTGCACAATATAGCAGTGTCTAAACCTAGTAGAACCGATAAGTAGCCTAGAACCTAAAAGAAATAAAAACGTGTAGAAAAAAATGAGTAGGCAAATATTTTATTCGTATTTGATTGTCTGATCTTCAAATATTTTACGTTTCTAGCGACTACCATGCAATGATATTTCTACCCTATATTTCTATACCGGAATGTAGTACATTATCCAAAATAAGCTCGACATTCAGAGTGCCGTGTTTACTTCAGAAAACCGAAAAACAGTAAACTAGTATACACTGGGTGCAGGCCAGGGCGAGATAATAACGGCATGAAATGTCACGGCTTCAAGAACTAAATTAAATTAATATAAAATGGGCAAATATCACTACAGTAGATAGTTAAAGATCCAGGCAGGAGGTCATTTTACATATACTGGTGTCATGTCATCGGATAAAATTTCCGGACCTCCTGAAGTATGCGCACCAAGATGGCGCACAACCTGAACTCAGGTTGTGTACCAGATTGGGGTTCAGGTTATTCGACATCTTGGTGCGTATACTTCAGGAGCACCAAATTTCCTCCATCTATACCAGCGATGGTAGAGCTTGAGTTCTAATTGAACTCGGGTAATCATTTAAATAAATATTCAAAGTGGCTGACTTCTTCTTATTGGAATTACTCGGGCCAATTATTCAATTAGCCTTCATTGAGATTTAACCCAATTATTGAAAGAACTTTAAACTCGCTCCAATACTAAGATGGCCCATGACTCAGATTGACTAGTGACCCGGGGTTTAGGAACGTTTACTCAATTTAATACTTATCGATTTTAATCGGTAAGTATGTTGATAGATATTTTTCTGTGTGTTTGTCTGTCTGTCTGTTAGATGCACGCGATATCTCACAAAAGCGAGATCGAATCTGCTCCAGATTTTGCATGTGCATTCATCATATGACGGACCAGAAGCCTATTAATTTTAGATGAATTATGTCAAATAATTAGCGAGTTATTTTAATTAGTGATGGGACACAAGGTGTTACTATGGAGCAAGAGCGCTGTTTTGGGGGATCCCCTAACTTTCAATCGATATGTCTTCGGTCTCTGACCGATATTCTCGTTACACTTTTGGACGGTTGTAGACATAGGTTTTGCCCCTGGATATATACACTGTAATGCCAAATTTTATTCCGACGCGGTAATTGTTAAATCAGCACGACTAATTCTATTCCAATATTGTCATTTATCGTCTACGAAAGATGTGTGAATAAGTGTTTACTGAAATGTTCAAGCTTTCAATTAAACAAATAAAATGGGCAATTACGGTCAAGTTTATACCCGACCTAGACTGGTAAATGGAGTCTAATAGTTTTCAATGAATAAAAAAAATTGTCGTTTTTTACTCTTTCTCCTAAATTTGGCTACATGAAAGGCCATACAAACACATCCAGCAGTCAAGGAAATTATTTATTGAATGTTAAGATACGGCTGACTACTGTAATACCAATAGCCACTGGAATAATTTACTTAAATGAATGCGCGCACCCATCGAGAAACAAAAGTTTCATTTTTGAGCAAAGTTAGATGCGACCACTGAAATACTAATAACTATTCATAAAACTATAAAAAATAAAATGGTTCTAATATAAAACAAATCTTTTTATACGTTTTTATTCATATTCATTACCTATCTGGCATCGATCCCCGTAGTATCCTATGTTACAATCACATATAACTCTTGTACCGGCTTCGGTGCATTTACCATTCGCACATGGGTTGGGATTGCAACTTGCTAAGTTGGCTGAAACGAAGAAAAATTATGTTTAAACAATGCTCAAATGTAAATGTATGAACGTGAAGACCAAGTCTCGACAAAATCCCAGCCAAATTAAAGAGGATTATAGCAGATACTGTGATTTAAAAGAAAACAGCAATTTTTTGGTTTTAAATGTCGGGCTCCAAAGGACACGAATAATTAAATTAAAAAAAATAGCAGGCTTTCCAGCAATTTTTGCTATCTACAAGTTTTAAAAATTCTCTTGGCATGGGCCCCGTTTGGCATGGGCGTGATGAGAGCGAAAATTTTTAATCGCTAAATGTATTGATAAAATGATTCCGACATGGGATTAATTGAACCTTTTTTATTTAAATAGTAACCTACAAGTATCAAATTCAACAACAGTCGTTAAAAATTGTCAGTCAATGATCCGCGTTTTTTAGATTTGTCATGGGCGCCATTTTGCAATGCGCACTGGAATCAAATCTCTTGACTCTTGCACGACAGCAACGTTGCATTATCTATCTACACGGATTCACCGGTGCAAAAGCGTAGAAGAATGATAAGTAGTTGGGCCAGAGAAACTTAATATAAAAAGAAGAGGTTCCTAAACGGGGGCCGTGACTTCAACCGCTAGTCCACTGCACCGTCTGAAAGATTACAGTTTATTCAAAAAAGGCAGCAACCCAAAATGCGATCATTCACCTGTTTCACAATGCTTTCCACTGAATCCAGCTTTACACCGACAAACGTATTTAGATCCTGTCCTCACGCACGATCCTCGGTTCTTGCACGGGTTCGGCAAGCAAGGATTTTTCTCTGCTTTGTGAAATAGAATTGTGGTTGAAAATCTCACACACTCGAAAGTAATGTCACTGACTACTGACATGTAAAGAGCAATGGAGTACTAATGCAGCAAATAGACCTATTTAGTGTGAGGATTTAAAATATTTAGAACGGGTTCTCTCTTGTATCCACACTTGGACTTATTTAGTAAGCCTTGTTCAACGCAATTTCAAAAACCTACAGCTGACCTATGAAAAGACTTATGGAAAGATCGAACTCTAGGGAAGACATCATATCAAGAATATACAGATCACTTGTTGAAACATCACTTGCAAAGAGCAGATTCGATTGATATATATATTGCTCTACTGATATTAAAAATATTCTATATTCTTTGGGAGAACCCGGAATTTGTTTTGTACGGTATACCAATTTCATTGCATTCCTGGTTGACAAGGGGCTCGAACTCGTAACCTGTAGTTTTACCTTTTCTTTCACACCTTTCTCCTCTATACCCTGGTCTGCATAAGCAATGAAAAGTTCCATCAGTTGCTCGACAGGCACCACCATTCAGACATGGATCCGAGTCACAGATGTCTTTTTCTACAAAGGGAAAAACTGCTTAATCCAAAGCGCAATAGTTTCGCGAAAAAATGCAACTACTCGCTATCTGCACACACGGATTGGGTCGGGGCGTTCTGAATTTTTTTTAATTGCCAAGTCAGACGTATATAGAATAGGATAGGATTCACATATTTATCCCAGGGGAGAGGAAAGCCGATAAGACGGCTTATCCATATGGCGAACCACGGCCTCTCGTCCAGTTACCCTTCCAAGTCGGGTATGGAATTAGTTATATTGTTTGTTTTTGAAAGCAGGGACTTGGTGGTGGAGGAAGCCGTAACCGACCAGCGGTTACGTGAATCAACCAACGACGGCGAGGAGTCCAGCAATCCTCTCGCACATAACCATCCCTGCATGGGATTCGAACCTGCGAACCCATGCAGAGTAATTAGAGGTGCGGTGGCGAGCGTATTTCTAACGCTTAGCCCGTTGAGCCACACCGCCGCGCCGGCTATCAGCTAGCGGCTCCGGTCGGAAAACATGGGTTTTCAAGAATATTGACGGCCAAAAAGGGCCTTCAAGCTACGAAAAGTTTCTATGTATGATACAGAAAAATGTTTTTGTCTTTCTACATTTCAAAAGGGGGAGTAAGGGTTCCGACCCTCACCCCCTGGATACGCTCCTCCTATCAATAATCTTGTACGCAACGCTAGCCATCCTTACCTTTACATTTAAAAGTATTGCAAGGCCTTGTTCTCTCCTCTTCACACCAGAATGCAGAGATGCAAGTCCGTTTCTTAGGCTTTTGAATTCCTCCACCGCAAGGTTTAGTGCAGGGAGTCCAATTGTCGTCATAAGCTCCGGAAACTGAAGATAAAGAAACGCATAATATTACTCAAATCGTTCCATTATCTTTGTACCCGCGTACATTTGCACCCACGAAGGAATGCTGTTACTGTGGAACGGTTCTAGGAAATTTGCCGTAGGAAATCTCGCCGCAGGAAGTTTTGCCGCATAGGAAAAATCGCCGCACGAGCTTGTACATGTATTTGTGGTAAAAACAGTTAGGTTTTTGGAGTACCTTTTTGTTCGAAAAAGATTCGTTATTTAAGAGCATACCCTGGCCTAACCCTATGAACTCAACTGTTTTTATCACAAATACTTGTTTTACAGCGAAATGCAATTACGGCACGCTGTGGAACGGCTACTATAACTTACGGTGACTGACACGCTAAATTTTAACTTCGCTAGAACCTAATATTTGAGACAAAGACATCTCCCGCACATTTTTTACCTTTGAAAAAAGCTTGATGAATCCCATTTTAAATTTTGCGAGAAGGGGAATGCTTTTGAAACGCGTTGTATACTTGAAAGGGTCCTTGAATAGTCCTTACGAGCATTTCGGCTCATGGACGTTTCGAACCAGACGTTTCGGCCCTCACAGGCTCTAGTGCAAGATACTTTTACTCGTTACTTCACAATCAAGCTTCATGACGTAATGATGTAATCCAGGAGTATGCAACCTGCTGCCCGCGGGCCAAATGCGACCCACAAAGACAAATTGTACGGCCCGCGAAGAAGTGTCAATTTTGAATATGGTGTGCGACCCGCGAAACAAGTTTTTAAGTTAGTTGAATCTGGTACGAGCGAGTATTTCCAATTCATTTGCGTTGCAAAACCTATTCCGGAGTTCAATTTAATATTTATGACGTTGCAATTCCTTTTTTGTGTGTCCAACTACTAGAAAGCCTGTATTAAATGAAGGCCCGCAGGTTAATTCAGTTATTTATATATGGCCCTCCTGTAGGTTGCACACCCCTGATGTAATTCATCGCGCATCGTTGATGAACATATTTTCTCACTCGAGCCTGCGTGCGTCGTAACGTCTGTTCGGAAACGTCCGTGAGCCGAAATGTTTATAAAAGACGTGTAAGTTTGCCCTCAAATGGAGAAAATTCTCACACGTCCAATAAACATTGGCAATTTTTTTTTAGAGAATTCTATCTTTTCGTACTCATTGGGGTATAATTATGTGCGAGAGAATTGGTGGAATCTTCACTGAGGTAGGGTGGTTCACTGGTCGATTACAGCCTCCTCCACCTCTAAGTGCATGCACACAATAATTGGGTAACTAATCCCATAGCTGGACTGGTAACCGGACGAGAGGTCACGGTTTGCAATATGATCAGTATATACAGATAATTGTCTAACAATCCACATAGCTGTAGTGGTAACCAAACGAAAAGTCATATGATTGAGCCGTCTTTAAATCCATGCGTATAAACAAATACCTGACTAACCAATCCCATACCCGACCTGGACTGGTAACCGGACGAGAGGCCGTGGTTCGCCATATGATTAAGCCTTGTTATTGCCTTTCCTATCTCTCGGGGCAAACATTAAAAATAAAATTATGTTACGAGGATGGGCTGACATTTGACCCCCACCCTGTATTGTATATTCATACTCAAATTGATTTTCACCTTCAGCAGTTATGAAGCTAGCTCGTCCCATTTCCTTTGAAGTTTTTACTTTCTCAAGTACGAGTTGTCCGCTTTTACACATCAAGAATTGATTTGGATATTCGGTGGATTCGTACGCGGTCGTACCCTAGGATGAAAAAGAAACAATAAATTATTCGGTGGATATAGGGAGGGAGAGAGAGAGAGAGCAGTGGGGAGGCCATGGCTCCCCTCTAAGGTGCGCAACTTTGCCATTGCGCAGTACCCCCAGACCATTTGCGCAGTAAAATCTCATTCTCGCGTACCTGTAAACAGTAGTGGGATTCAGCCGGTTCGCCCTGGTTCTATAGAACCGTCTCACGGAATTTTATGAGATCAGCGAACCGGTTAGCATTACTGGCTTATTCACTAAAAAAATATGACTTTTGTGTTAGAACCGGCTGACAAAAATTCTGAATCCCACAACTGTCTGTAACATTACGTTTCCAAAGCGTGGCTCGTCAAATTTTCCAACGCCGAAAAATGAATCAGCTACATATCGAGATTCATCAATGACACATGGACAAAGTGTAAAAAACTATAAGGCACGAAATAATGTTGGGAACGCACGAAAACAGGGCGAAACTATTATAATTAAATGTGTAGGTCATTTGTTCGCATTCTGATAATATGTTAAACTATTGTAATATTTCACAAAGTTGGTAAATTGTTTGGGACTCGGCTAAGTTAGCCCTAAAATATTAATGCTCACTAGAACGAACATTTGCTCAATGTGAAATTTTCTTTGAGGGAACACTGGGAGCGAATATTAAAAACGATATCGTGACCAGTGTTCCCTACAAAAAAATTTTACACTGAGCAAGTGTTTGTTTTAATAAGCATGAATATTTCAAAGCTAAGTTAACAGAGTCCTAAATGATTTACAAACTTTGGGAAATATTACAATAGTAAAATTATTATCAGAATGCGAACGAATTATACAATTAAATTATGATAGTTTCTCCCTGTTTTTATGCTCTTTAAACGTTTATACACTTTGTCCATGTTTCTTGCTAAATCTTGATATTTAGCTGATTCATAATTAGGCGAACTTGGATGTTGTGTATTGAACTGCAGTCCCTTTCTCCTTGATTACTTTCTACTTCCGATCCGTATGTGGTGTTGAAAAATATGACGAGTAAAGCTTCGGAAACGTAAGGTTGCAAGTGCGCGAGAATGAGATTTTACTGCGTAGATGGTTTGGTGGTACTGCGCAATGGCGGAGTTGCGTACCTTAGAGGAAACCATCATCGTGACATTAAGTGCGATATAAAAAGAGAGTAGAAATATATGAAGATGTGGAGGAAGAGATATGATATAAAAAGAGAGAAAGGCAGTATTGAAAGAGCTAGAGAGTGAGAGACAAAGAGAAGGTAAAGCAGGGGCGGGCAAGGTTTTCGGAACAAGGCCAAAGATTTTGCCCATGTAGACTGGCGGGCCATGTAAGTGTGACGTAAAAAGTTACATTTTATAAACAATATTGACAGTGTTACAGAAGCAAAAATGGAAAACAATAGGCCTCGTGCCAAAACTTTTTTGTGACAAATTCCTCGAGGTATTTTTAACTAAAGTATCAAAATTTGGTTTTAGTTTGGTTGTGGCAGCATCAGGGGGGCCAGATCAATGGGCCGAATAAGGCCCGCGGGTCGTAGTTTTGCCATGCCAGAGGTAAAGGCACATTTATTAGGGTTGGAGAGAAAGTGAATGAGAGTTGGATAAAGACGCTAATATTAATAGAGATTAAGCGTTTCCGAAGAAAAAGAGAGGGAGTCCAGTATTGGAAAATTGATTGTTTATTATAAATGGACTTGTGCAATTTTCTAGCTGTTTCACTCACTGTGTTGAGAGACTTGTGAGATATTTGAGTGAACGAAAAGTTATGACATTTTTAGGAGAGGTATAAAAAGTCACTCAGGACCAATGGAGAAGAAGGGATACATTCATCAATAAATATTCTCACCTTAAAAAAATGATTCTTCCTTGTCGTGAAGCTACCAGCCCGTTCAAACGATCTGCGACCGTCATATCTATTAATATATATGTACGCATCCACGTCCACCAAGTAATGACGAGTGAAATCTAAAGTTTTGAATGAAGAGTCTCCTCGCGTCGCGGTAAGACCAGGATCGAGTATATTGAACTTTAAAGCGTCAGAAACATCTGCGCTGCACGTAGCAGGATTTCCTTTGCTTCCTTTAACGTATTTTGGTGTTGTTTCGTACGTGTGTAGGTAGACAGGAACAGAGGCTGTAAGTAGTAATAGTGGTTAATGTTGGCTTGAGTATTGACTTGATTCGATATGTATTCAATTATTGGAAAATAGTTACTCGAGTCATCTTTATTAAAATACTCGTACTCAAGTAACAGATATTAGGTCTAAACTCAGTGATTGACTTGACCTTCTACTCGAGACTCGACCACACGACCAGGCCATGAATTTTCAAGTAAGAGGTGGGATTTCTAATTGCCTAGGACTAGGTAGACCTTAACCGTTGGCGATTTATGAGGGTCTAAAAATCGTTTCCATTTTTCTACATTCAGAAAGGACGGGGGCCGATCAGAACCACATCCGCCACCCTAGGTACGTCCCTACCCTCGGATAACTTGTAACTCGCCCGACTTGCAAATTGCACGTACGTTTGTAGATAGACAGGACCCGGCTCTGGAAACAAATAGTAATGGTTTGTGTCAGTGTTCGTAAATATCGAGTTATGTCGAGTCCCGGTTAATCCGAGCAGGCACAAAAATTTCGGTTAATGATCTCATGACATGCGGTGTTCGCTTCGCACGAGTTAGCCGTTGGGGCATTGTAACGCAATAGCCATAGATAATAAATTGAATTCAGGGTAGGCTTTGTAAAGTAAAAGGTCTGGGAATACTCTCACATATCAAATTGAATTAAATCAAAAGCTCGTTTCGTGATAATATACAGTTTTTGCTGTTAGTATGCAAGCAAAATGAGTTGAAGCTAAAGGAACACAATATTCTACAGCAGTGTTTCTCAAACTTTTCGAGCCGCGTCCCCTTTTTAGAATTTGAAGTCTAGCGCCTTATCTCAAAAGTAACTAACTTACAATAAGCTGCAAATACCGAGATAGTAAGCCGAAAGTATGTTTTATTCGAAGTACACGTTGAAAATATGTGAGTTGAACGTAAATAATAACTTAAGGAAATATAAATATCCAAAAAAAAGAAAAGTGAATATCCAAAATAAGGCGAGCAAGGTCAAATCTAACAAATATTTTTTTAGTTTCACGTCGCTTCAAAAATTGTCTACCGAAAATCATTAAAACTAAAAAAAACTCACCTTGAGATACGCTGAGTGTGACAGTGATAAATAAAAGGCAAGACGAGAGCCGTTCTTTGGTCATCATGTCTTCTATCATGAAAAATTATATCGAACCTATAATCTAAATTTCTATACAAAAAAAAAACGTTTATTATAAAGCAGCACAGATGAACACATACCATAAATTACATTTCATACGCTCATTATAAGCATTTGCCTAAAGTAGCGGTTCCCAAGCTTTTTGTTCGTGCGTTATCAGGGAAAAAACTAACGGCGCACAAAAAAGACATCACGTAACAGAGAGTAAATAATAAATAAATCATTAAAATATTTATAATAAAAACAAAATATAAATTTTCAATCATATAATAGTTATGTCAATTCTGTTAACACATTCGCCGCCCCCTTTAGAAACCGCTGGTCTAAAGTATTTTATCTATCTTGACCCAGAACATACCATGAATCCCACTTCATATTCTTACTATATTTATTTGTCCAAAGCTTCATGTTATTTATCCTAATCCATATTATACCACGAATCCCATTTTCAAACTTACTCTGACCTGACCCACAGTCCTATGTCTGCCTTAGCCCTATCACCCTATTGTAAAGTCGGAAGAAAAAATACACAGTCGGAGACACTACATATCCAACATTTTAAAAAAATCCAGCTACGACAGTTCGTCGACAAAAAAATGGAATGCCACTCTTTGACACTCAGAATTTAGATTTCACGAAAACTGCGAAATTTGCAAAAGAAGCGCTTCAAACAATACTGTACGCGCATGAATCAAATCTTCAAATGAAAATTACTCATTTGCCTTTTCACGTTCTAATTTTTCTAACAGAAATCGCTTAAAGCAAGTCGCCAGTCATCTCAACAATGCGGGAATTCTATGAATAATGAGTGAACCGCAGAATGAGATTGAAACTTTGCGGATGGGATTAATACAGTGAAAAACACAGTGATTCAACTTGAATTGTGGTGTAATATGTGTATTACTGAGTTTGTGAATGCGATTTTGTAAATAACAGTCGCTAAAAGGACTGCAAATTCGAAGGACCTAGACTCCTAGAGATTCTAAAAAAGCACAACTGCGAATCCGGATATTTGTCAGCAACATTTTGGACTCTTGAAAACTTTAACGATGAACTTTTGGATTATAAACATTCAAAGAACATAGAAGTAGAGATTCCTACAAACGAAACTCCGGTTTCGGATTATCTTCAAAAAAAAGTTCGACTCCAACCCCACTCTTCGCATGAAACTCAGAATTTGTGATTCACGAAAACGGCGAAATTCACAGAAGAAGAGCTTTAAACAATACTACATACATGAATCAAATCTTCAAACAAAAATGTTTACTTCGCCTCACATCTCCGGATCCGGTTTTAAATCCGGCTTCTCCTTAACAAAAATTTTGACTTCAACTCCAGCACCCGACTTCAAAACACCCAAAATTTAGACTAGACGAAAAAGGAAAAATTTGCATAGAAAGCGTTTTAACAATGCTGTACTTACACTAATCAAATCTTCAAACAAAAATTTCTACTTTTCTACTTTTTAATTTTTCTAACAGAAATTGCTTTAAGTAGCCAGTCATCTCAACAATGCGGGAATTTTATGAATAATAATTGAACCGCAGAATGAGTAATAAAAAAACACAGTGATTCACATTGAATTGTCGTGTAATATTCATCAGTCGTATAAGAACTGTAAGTTATTAAAAAACAAAAAAGACGACTCCGGGTCCGGATTCTTGTCGAAAAAGATTGAAACTCCAACTCCTACTATTTGGTACAACAAGTTGGAATTCATGAAAACTGTGGAATTGCAAGCTTTCACTAATCCTAAATCCTGTAAAGTCGAGAAAAAATTATCTATCCATGGACAAATTCAGATCCGGATTTGCATCGACAGAATTTTGACTCCGACTACCACTCTATGTCACTCAGAATTTATAATTTACAAAATTTGCACTGGAAGCGCTTTAACAACACTGTATCAAATCTTCAAACACAAATGTCTACTTCGCCTTTTCACGCTTTAATTTTTCTAACAGAAATCGCTTGAAGCAAGTTGCCAGTCATCTCAACACTACGGGAATTTTATGAATAACGATTGAACCACAGAATGAGATTGATACTTTGCGGATGAGAATATTGAAAAACACAGTGACTTAACTTGAATTGTCGTGTAATATGAGTATTACTTAGTTTGTATGTGAGATTTGGTGATAAAAGTTAGAATAAAAAATCGCTAAAAGACTGCAAAGCCACAGAAACCGTCATTCAACTTGAAACTTCATTAAAAACGCTAAACCGGATCCGGTTTCAATTCGGTCACTTTTCAACAAAAACTTGAACACTAACTTCAGCAGCCAACTCTGATACAACTTCAAAATCAAAGAACTGAAATGAGATCTATCACCCCCAAATCCTGACCCGGATTTTCGTCGAACAATGTTGACTCCAACTACAACTCGCAAATCCATGACACCTAGAATTCAGACTTTATAATGACTGAAATTTACAGAGGAAGCCATTTAGCAATTCTGTACGTACATGAATCAAATCTTCAAACAAAAACATCGACTTCGCCTTTTCACGATTTAATTTTTATAACAGAAATGGCTTGAAGCAAGTCGCCAGTCATCTCATCAATGCGGAAATTCATGAATAATGATTGAACCGCAGAATGAGATTAGTAATCAAAGTTAGAATCAAAATCGTTGAAGGAGCTGTAAAGTGAAAAAAAAACGATGTATCTAACTTGAACCGTTTTGAAAACCGACTCCGAACTCCGAAACCGACTTGCAAGTCCAGTAATCACTTGTGTAGACTCTAGAGCTTACATGAGAAAATTACGGGTCGAATATTGCCCGTTGGGTAATCTAATCTGGCCCGCCTGATGCTGCCACAATCAAATTAAAAACCAAATTTGATTTGAGATTTTTATCTAAAATTAGTTTCGGCACGAGGCTTATTGTTTTCAGCTTTGCTTTTGTAACGCAGTAAATATTGTTCATAAAATGTACCTTCCACGCCACACTTACATGGCCCGCCAGTCTAGATGGGCACTATTTTTAGCCACAGGTCTAAAAAACCTTTTCCGTCACAGTTCTAGAGCATTGGTCAATTCAAATACATTTAAAACACCATATCAAACTGTGCAATAGGAAAACGGCATATGGGTTATTGTAGTGTTACTATGACACCACTTACTGATGGGCCTGCTAAACCAGTATTTAAAAGATAATAAATGAAATTGAATATGAACCCCCGTTTTACGTAAAGAAAATATCGTTGTTCCCAATTCACGTACAATGAAATCCCGTCAATCAAACAGAATTCAGTCAAAAGATTCCCGCCTCTTCAAAAACACAGCGCCTAAAGCACCATATACAGCACCTAGTTAATAAACAGAATATTGATTATGATTGCCTTAATATACTACCGCATACAGTTGGCCTTGCTATCAGTATTTAAAAGATCAAAATAATGACATCATTCGGAATTACCATATATCGAAAAGACTGGTGATTAATAAATCCGGAATCATACATAAATAGAAACTAGAGACAAGTTTTATATGAGTCATATCTCGACGGTGCTTTCAGTTTTCGCGTAGCAGTTGAGTTCATTCCGAGATTTGTTGAAAAATTTATATTAAATAAAAAAAAGGAAATCTGTGTTTTTAATACGACGTTTAGTCACGTTTTTGTTTGCTCGGAACAATGCACTGTGCAAGTAGCCATAAGATATGTGAGAAGCTGCTATCTATCTGCTATAGAAATGCTTATCTTTTATTCTGGTAACGGCTCTTTGGTACTTATGAAGTATGCGCATCGAGATGTCGCATAACCTGAATCGTAACTTGGTACACAAGCTGAGTTCAGGTTGTGCGCCATCTTGGTGCGAATACTCCAGAAGGTCCGACTCTTTTAAGATTTTCACCACTTTTACTCTGAGACAGGTTTTGCACGTTTTTTAAATACGTATTAGGTAATTATCAGTTTGGGTTAAAAATGATTTAAAAATTTGAATTTTCAGCGCAATTTGCATTCCTAGCTCTCGCCCTAACTGGATAATGACTAATTTTCCTATTTTAAGCGTTGGTAGGGACTTGGTACAAAATATCCAAAAATTCAATATGTTTAACATGTTATTAAATTACTTTTGATTGACTCGTTGAAATCATTGATAGAGGAATTTGTTAAGGTCGACACTAATGCAAAAAAAGTGAGATTTCAGAAAAACACCTACGCAACGTTTTAAAATAACAAATTAGTAATCATTCAGTTGGGGCTAACAATGATTTAAAGATGTGAATTTCCTGCGCAATCTGCGTCCCTAACAATATGCCAAACTAAATTTTTAGCGTTTACGGGAGCTTTGTACAAAAGATCCAGGATTTTTAATGAGGCTTTTTCACACGTTCACTTTGGACAAGATTCTGTTGTAAAAGCAGTCTTACTGTTGGATAGTACGTCATCAGACAATCAAGACTATTCTGTGACCTTGCAGCACGCGGAATCTTTTGAGAGTGTTACAGACTATAAGCAAGCATATTTTTCTGGGAAAGAGCTGCAAATACTACATTTCGTATGCCATGGACAGATAAGCAAATATTTTTTAATATTGACAAAGCCCATCAGCTCGATTATAATAAATAGCAGATAGCTAAATTAGAATAGTTTAATCCACATGCATCATTTCATTTGTTAAATTATTTTATTAGTAACACGAACTTGAATCCTTTGTGTCAAAGTACATATTGTAGATATTGGTGCAACATCAAAGCAACAGTGTTTTTTTGAAATTGTTCTATTAATCAAATTTTACCTAAAATGGTCCATGAACCGATACAAAGACCGCGAGTCTGAATAAGGATCTTGCTCCACACCAACACAAAAGTACGTTACAGAAAAACATTTGCGTCAGTGTGCAGCAAGATCTTGCCGCAGCATACTTGCGTTACACGCCTACGGATTCACTCCCACAAAGGCAAGGAAGGATAGTTAGTCTCGCGTAACCCCAACTGCAAGTCTGTATAAACGGAACCTGTAAACCAGGTAATATTTACACGAACGACGATGACTCACAATATATATATCGATACTACTTCATATGTATT